AGTATATTTAAACCCACCTCTCAACTTGTTGTTTACCAGATCTTAACATGAGGAAGGAGCTTGGTATTTCTAGTATCAGTGATAGGATTGTTGAAATTAACACTGTACTCGGTATTAGAATGTTGAGAAACGAACCAGACACTGTCACAGTGAATCTTACCAAGTGTCTAGAGGTAAATACACACAGATCTAAATGGATTGTGAAAACGTGCAATTGCATTAAGTTTTATAACCTGCATGAACTGTATCACTGTAGGCAACAAGAGCATTTCACCCCTCCATGGAAGATGTGTTCATTTAATATCACATACCTACAAGTCCCTCCCAAGAAGCTCATTGCTAGTAATCCCTTCCTTAAATCTCTTGTTAGAGCAACTGCTCAAGAAGAAATTTTTCGCCTAGCTGGTAGTAATAAGTTATCACAAGTTATATACACTGATGGATCTAAACAGGAGTCTTCTGGCAGGGCTGCATCTGCTCTTGTTGCCACCTCCCTAGTTAAGAACGATAATAAATTTGTTGAGTTAGGCATAAGAATTAACAACTGGGCGTCTACACTGCAAACTGAATTGTTTGCAATCCTAATGGCGCTAAAGCTAACCTATGACACTGAGCTTGACTCTATCATCATTACTGATTCTATGTCATCATTGAAGGCTCTTGGCTCATATAATGACTCCAACAACATGCTCATTGGGGAAGCCAGGTATAGATACTCAAAAATTAGGGACAAAGGAATTAATGTACAATTGCTATGGATCCCATCACACATTGGATTACTCCTTCATGATAAAGTTGATATGTTAGCCAAGAAGAGTATCCAGAAGGAGAACGTAGAATATAACTTTGGTATAACTGTGTCTAGCATTAGGAATAATATTAGGAGAGAAGTAAATAATGAAGATGATTGTTATAGGAATGCAGTTAGAAGCCTGAGTAGATCTATAACCCACTATGATAACATGAACGTAGATAAGTATGTTTATGGAGCAACTTGCAATGTGAACAGACTGACTGATGTTGTAGTGGCCAGGCTTAGGCTTGGTTACAAGTACTTCTGGCAGTTTGGGAGACACACAGATGATCAAACTAAATGTAAATTATGTGATCAGGCATATGGTCACTGTCTTGAACACTATGTGCTTAATTGTCCACTTATTGAGGAATACAGAGACAGACAGTATAATAACCTATGTGACATGTCAAGATATCTTATTAATGAAAATAAGATACCAGATATACTAAGCAAATTTCCTAAATTTGCTTGTAACAGATAAGTGAACTATAGATATAGATATAAATCCATATGTATTCCTGTTAACCCTTTGGGGCCTAGTTCCTAGGCCTTTTGTGTATCCATATGCTCTCGCGCTACCGTCCACAGGATGGATATGGGGTGCACAATAAACTAGCCACTTCGGTGGCAAAATCTAATCTTTACCAGATGTGCTCCCCCATGTCTTGTGTGCCCTGTCGTACCTGTTCTTAAAACTATGTATGGTGCCTACCTTTACCACATCGTCATCAAGACCACTCCACTTCCTGACAACCCTTAGGCTGAAGAATTGTTTATGATATCCTTTTGACTCATCTGTGGCTTTAACTTCTAACTGTGCCTCTATGTACCTGCTTCTCGTTTCTCAGTCTATCCTCAACAAGATCATTTCCTTTAGCCTCTCCTCATCACTTATACCATTTGTTTGGACTAAATTGTTGCATACCTATGCATTTTCTCAAGTTTCTTAAACAGTTTTATCAGGTGTGGGTTGACCTGCGTACTCCAAGATGGGCCTGACATATGTTGCATAGAGGATCTTGAATGACTTTTTCGAGGTTCATGAAGGGTACTCTTAGATTTACCAGACGAGCATTGGCTGTAAATATTATTTGGTTGGTACGAGCTTCCAGTTATATGACTCGCACTATGATGTGAGTGAGGTTTGTAATCTCCGTCTCACAACTCTATACTCTGTGCCTGATCTTGCCCCTTCTCCAGTCTTCACAACAGTGCATTTGCTGGAGTTGAATTTAAGTGTCCGCTTATTTGACCAGTCCTGCAGTTTGTCCAGATTCATTTGTAACCTTTTCTTGTCCTCAGCGAACAGAGATAAATCTGCCTCAGTCCCATCTGGTATGTCAGTCACATATGTCAGAAACAGTATGGTCCTAATGCTGATCCCTGTAGAACCCCGTTTGTCACTCTTCCCCATTCTGACATCCTTTCCCCTAAGTACTCATTGGTCCACCGGAGTACATTCCATGTTATTCCTGTCATAGTTTCTTGTGAGCTGTATCAAATTGCCTTTAGTTCAATGTTTACCTGATCTCTGGCAATTGTTTATTGTCGACTTGTTGTAAATCCAGCGCTTCTCCTCACTCTCATTGGATCCACGGTGACACCTCTTCACGTCTGATTACCTACAGGTGCTATGATGGTTGGCACAAACTCTGCAGATGGTGTGACAGTCTAGGCTTCTTGAATTCGCGGAACTGAGGCAGGAGACTGATGCACCCCAGAGTAAGTCAAGGTGTTGGGTTCCCGAAGCTGTAGCAGGTACCAGTGGTCTCAAATTCTACAAATGAAACAGACCGCTTGATATAAGGAAGCAGGGCGACTCTGAGCTCAAGCGAGTGTGTGGAGCTTGGAAAGCAGTAGCCTATACTACCCGATGTCCTTCAGTCCTCACTGTTTGGGTGACAAACTGCAAGCCTGTGGGCTAAGAGAAAAAAACAAATAAGTTACCAGAAAGATGGCTGAAGTCCCTGAAGAAATTGACGATACACCAGATTACTGCAACTTGAGTAAAAGTAAATTAATACTGCTAACAGCAATTACGATCAGTAAAAAAAAAAAATATCATGATCAACCAAAGAGTCCATAAAGGATAAAGTAGCTAGCTTTTGCGGGAGTGTAATGGGAGGGTGAAGTGAAAACTGACCTTGGGCATAATCATCAAGTACAAGAAAACAGAATGGAAAAGAATGAAATACTCCACGTTACCAGGCGATACTGGTGACACGAACTTCCTTCATATAAAGATGTTATACACAGGTCTGGCGAGCTGGAAGTCAGGTGTGTATCTCTGTGTGAGGTAGAGACGGTAGTGGTGTAAAGGTCTTGGTGAGGTGGAGGGCGCTAGTATTTGCCTGGTCATTCAGACGTCATGGAATGCGGAGAGGCCCGTGGGGCAGTTTGCACGGCGGCTCATCATACAGACATCACATTCTCTTCAGAATCTTCCAGAGAATGTTTTCAGACAAAATTAGTGTTGAAAATTTAGTACCGTGTATTTCGATGCAAAGTGTGCAGGTTCGAATTCTGCTGTGGACTGAAAGATAATGTTTGTTAAAAATTTCGCCCATTTTGCAAATTGTTAAGGTTTTACAAGGTTAGATTAAGGTTCCTAACTTTATTTACAAGCTAATAGCTGCTACCTGCATCAGCTCATTTGAATGTTTTTTTTTATTGTTATGAGACACAAATAGGGAACAGGATGAAGTTGAGGTCATATGTGGGTGTTGTGACCTATGAAAAGGAATTCATAACTATTTAGTAAATATTGTCTTTTCGTATAATGTTATATAGCCGATGTCATCATTAATACTGTGAGGGAAAAGTCTTTAAAAAAGAGGTTATGGTCGTTCAGACTACTTGGAACCATTAGCGTGTTACCGCCCGCACTACCATCTAGCGGGCTGAGGCTAAACTTCAGTTTCCTCGGGTCTGATTTGCTTTAATTTCTACACCTGGTAGTATTAACCTTACCTGGTGTGGGTTGAAGTTTGGAGAATCACTTCTCCTCCGCTCTTCTCCTGATCAAGTAAGGTGATCTACCAGGAGTATTTCTATTCTTTGTTACTGATTCACCTGGTTACCAGTAATGACATTGAAGGTAGAATACCACCCTTTGTCTTTCTTCAGTATTATACTTATTGTGGCATGCAAAGAGTACGTTACAATTTATTCTGCGTATGTCACACTCCCATATAGGCTGCCTCCCAACCAGCGAACCGGGTTTAACGATTATTAGGGTACCCGTCATTAAATCAGTACCTTGGTTCGTTCATCGATCACAGGCGAACCCGCCAAATGCTGAGGCAATGTGGTTCACTTGCGGTTAGCATTTCCGTCAGCATTTGCCAGACTTGCCTACCTGCTGGTTGAGTACTGTGCTCTCTGGGTTTTGCTTTTGCCATTCTGTCACCGTCGTGTGGTACACTTACTATTCAAATTCTGTACATAGCGTACATGTATATATCTGGCAAATTATATCTGCTGAAGGAAATACAAGCTATAGTCTGTCTACTGAGTTTATTTTGCTCCAAAACCAATTACGACCACGTCACAGGCCATTCATAACCTGTGTTCGTAGTTCTTATTAACCCTTATGTAACCAGTGTTGGTTTTTTTTATTGTTAGCTCTGCTACTGGCCTGGTCAACCAGAGCAAGATCCCTGTCAACAGGACATATTGGGACATAATGACTCGTCTCTCTGAAATCTGAAGTGTGGTACTACGACAAAGTATCGATAGGATTTCCAGGACATTGGACGAACACCACCATCCAGATAACCAACATCATTTCTTGTAAAAATCACAGAAGACCATCCTGGGCATGAGACACTCCAGTCTCAACATCACTGGAAACACAGTGGCCAATTTTATTTTATTTATTTTTAATTAAAACCCTTAAATTATCTTAGTAATTATTCCTCAAGTTATTCTTATTATTTTTCCATTCTTTTGTTCAGGTGGAAGGCGTTCCTCTGACAATAGATAAAATGAAAATTTCATGCTTATTATCTTAGCTTATGTATGTAGGAAGGACATAACTACACCTCTCATTGTGCTCACTGTTGGAGACTTTTGATTGGCTACCAGCACTTGCAAACGACCTGCCCGCTTGTTAAGTAGTTTAAGCCAGGCGCTACTTGTTACAAGTAACTTTACGTTGGAGCTGCTACTTCTTTCACACCTCTCTATGGCTGTTGCTCGTTGAGGCAACATACTCTCCATTCCTCTGTCTGGGAGAATGCTATTTCCCTCAGCTCGTGTCATTTAGACCGTTTTTGGTAGAGTATATTGGTGAGCCGGGAAATACTTTTTGTAACTCTATGCAGATCTATTTACAGAGCATTATTTAGTATTAGTGATATTTGACGTTTCCAGAGGTTTTGTGTTGTGGAGACACTATCTCTGGCCCCAAGTTAAACTCTCGACCTACAGTGTTCTGTCATCTCCCCTCATGGAAGGTTCCTTGATGCTGGTGAGGGGCTCTTGATCTAGGGAACTGGTTCTGCTCTCCAGTTCCCTAAATTAAACCTGAATGCGTTCCACATTCCCCCCCCCCTCCAGGCGCTGTATAATCCTACGGGCTTAGAGCTTCTCCCTTGATTATAATAATATTCTGGCATCTACACACTGTTGTCGGGAAAATTTAAAATGCTGAACTCACTTTCTGTAATAAAGGAGTTTTATGCCTTTGGTGTAGGAAATGTTGAAGGTTCACAGTTAAGGTCGTTTTTGAGGTCGTTGATTCTGTAATCATTATTTAACTACATGTAAACCACACAATAACCAAATTCTGTAAATTCAACATTGTAATCCTTATAGAGAATAAACTTTGAATTTGAATTTGCCTGATGCTGTGCTGTTTATTGCTGCTTCCAACGTGATTGTTGTTTGGCGAATGAATCATATTGTTTAAGTAAGCTTTCTATTTGCCTCGATGATTCTAAAATTAGTTTTAGGGACTTGTCGCTCACATCTTAAGTCAAAGCCGAGTCTTGCTGAGCACATACCGAGCATAACAGAACACACACAAACACACACATACACTACATATTATTCTTGTACATGAGTACATGTCATCATAACTACGTACCAGATGGTACTTAATAAAAGTAGTACAGTTATTAAATGTGTCCTTAGCACCATGTGAATATATGTATAAGATAACTATGATATATAATATACAAAGTTATACTTGAGTTGTGTAGGAACTTATCTCCTTGATAATTATAATTATATTAACTATAATTACCACGTAAAGACCTTTATTATTAAAGATCTCAAGTTTTATTTGGTTTAGTTTGTATTTATCCAATTGCAATTCAGAAGTACTATTGAGAAGCCCTGTATGACCCTTGTAGGTTTAGCGCTTCTTTTTGATAATATTGAAAAGCCACTTAATTTTATGGGATGACTAGACTAGAATACTGTGACTGTTGCAAAACTAGAAACAGACTAGAAACTAGAAGATCAAAAAGTTCGCCTTGTATTCAACTGGTTAACAATTTTTGAAAAGTTGTATGCCTCCTAAATGATATTAGTTAATTCTTATGTATTTTCATGTCCTGAATCCAAATATCACCTTGAAAAATGCTTGTTGGTTATAGGTTTCAAGATACGAGACATGTAATATTTGATTATTTTATTATAACCTATATGTGTCAGTATATTTTAAACTCTAATCCGTACCTATTCTCTACGTTTTTGCTTGACGCTTATAGTGGGCTGAAGACCATCTCTGCCCCAAAGTCCACAAAATCTGCAAGCTTTTTGGGGCCCCATTTGCCATGTACATTTTTCCTGGTTAAATATTTGGGAAAAAATTTCACCATGTTTGTTACGTCTCACAGTTCGCTGGGAAAAACAAATAGGTTCAAAAAATGGGTTTTAATGACTGTTACCCCATGCTCGTAAAACATTGACAGGTTTTTTCCCCCATTTATTGCCTTTACTTCGTTTCCGAGAAATCCCTTCGCCACCAACTTGAATGCTTCCCAAGCAGCTTTCTCCTCCCCAGGAAGGTCTGATTCAGTCACCATCTTTAAGAAACTCTCGAATCTGAGGACCATTGAAGACTCCTTCTCTTTGCGTCGCTCAGTGAAGGGAATTTTGATGTTAAATACTTGAATCCCTGACCGGATTTGTCCATAGCTTTTACAAAGTTTTCATGAGCCCCAGTTTTATGTGTAGTGGTGGTAGTAAAATTTTGTTTGATTCAATGAGAGGTGATGTTGAACATTTATCCCAGGCTCCAATGATTGACGAGGTGGCCAGTCTCTCCTGTAATGGGAACCTCTTGCACGGCTGTCCCAGTCACATAGAAAGCAGCAGTACTTGGTGTATCCGCCCTGCAAGCCCATCACAAGAGCAACAACCTTTAAGTCACCACAGAGCTGCCATTGATGCTCATCATATTTCATGCACTGCAAGGTATGCTTTATATTCTCGTAAGTTTCTTTCATATGTGGTGCATAGACCACAGGAACTGATAGTTTACTATTGCCGTTATGTAGCAAGACACTTTTCAGACTCGTTTTTGATGAATCTGAGCAACCTCCAGTGACTGGGTGCGTAATCGATGCCAAGTGCTCCCATTAGATCATTAACATTGTTGCAGGCCACTAAATCGCCTTCCATTACGAAAAAATCGTTGAACTGCTGCTGTCACGAAATTTTGGTATCTTCACATCAGCTGCTAGGAGAGTCCACTGTTGAAGACGAGAGCCTAGCAGCTCTGGCTTATTTTGGGTAGTTGCAGATCCCTGACAAGGTCATGGAGTTCCCCTTTTGTTATGAGATGTGGCCTAGAGAAGCGTGCTTCATCAAAGTCTTGGTCACTCTGTAATCCAGCACTCTTCCTCATCACTTTCTTTATCTGACTCGAAGGATACCGAAGTTGGTGCATCAGGAACAGGTAGACCTTCTCCATGTGGAACTGGGCGAATAACTGATGGAATGTTTGGATATTCAATGGACCCCTTTTTTATTTGACAAGCCCTTTTGTACTGAAGGTACCATGCAGAAATAACAACTGTTGGTATGGTCTGTTGGCTCCCGCCATGTCATTGGCACAGCAAAAGGCATTTCTTTCCTCTTCCTGTTCAACCATTCGCGAAGGTTAGTTGCACAATTGTTGCAGCATATGCGTGGAGCCCAGTTCTTATCCTGGTCACCAATCTTGCATCCAAAATAATAGGTGATATGCCTTTATAACCATAGCAGTTATACGGCGCTTCTGTGATGCAAAGGTCACCTCACCACAAATGTAGCAGAAGTTGTCTGCACTATTCACACAAGTACGAGGCATCTGAAAGAAGAAAACAACAAACAGAAGATAAACAAATTTTATTAATTAATTTATTATAATACAGAACATGACAGCTAAGCAGAAGTATTTATATCATTCAGTAAGAAAATAAAATTAATATATGCCTCACATGCATATCAGTAGCTTGCTCTGAATATTTATTATAAGTTCAAAAAGTGTTTGGCTAAGAAAATCACCTACCTTTCACATCAAAATATAAACTTGCACATCATAACCACCTTCTATGACTGCTGGAACAATAATGGTCAGTGAGACTGTGAGTATGGTAAGAAACACACTGCCGCAACCCTGTTGGAACCTGTTGTGACACGTAGGCGTATACTGAGAAGTAGAGCTAACAAACAATTTTAACCATGATATTCATTATCAGTGACCTAAAATTAGTTGGAAATTGCTACTTTGGTCTTGGAAGCATTTTGGTTGTTGACCAGTGTCTCTGGAGATGTTTGTACTTTATAGATATCGCATTTTGTAACAACGGGAGAACAGTTTCATTTGGCCATCTGACTTTATTTCGTTGATGTCATTATGTTGTAGGAACAGGTTCAAGACTCGAGTCATCCTAGGAATAAATGATCTCAGATGAAGCGATATTCTGGAGAAGGGTTCAGTCAGTGTAGTTGCTACCTGCTGCCCGTCTTTTTGTGTAGAAGCTCACTTATCACCGTCCTCGGAGTGGAGCCAAGTGTGGTATTTTGACAATATTGGCCGTGTACAGAACAGTAAGACCACCCACATCCCTCCCTGTGTTGAAGGCTCTGCCGAAATGACAGATCTATCCAGGCTGGGTCCAGGCGAGAGAGGAGCTTCTTGGCTCTGCTCTCTCTTCTGTCAAGAAGTTGCAGATGAGATGAAGGGCAGGCAATCCAAGAAAGTGGAGCATACTCAAGGTGTGAGCATACTTGTGCCTCGTACAGAATCTTTCAACCTCAACTGTCGAGCAGACAAAAGATAAGTAGAAGTGCTGTAAGCTTTGTTGGCAAGATTTATAACATGGTTCTTTATGGTCAATTTAGAGTCAAATTTCACCCAAAGGATACAGACTTTGTTCCCAAGTACCAACGCTCTCCCATTTATTCTTACCACTGCTGCAGCATTATCATCATGATGCTAAAGACTATCATTTGTTTTCTCAGGAACAAACGCTACCTGAATAGTTTTCCCCAGACTAATATAGCTGTAAGCTGGTGGTAGTTTAACTTAGAGAAGCTGGCATTTCCTCTCTTGGATAAGTAAATGTCAGAGTACAGTCGTCTGCATATGCATGGGATTCTGGGATGAGATGAAGGTCATTAAAGTAGATATTTCATAATATTGGCACAAACATAATTTCCTGGGAATATTTTATCCTCTTTCTGCTTCCCTCGACGGTTTAGATGTTCACTAATTTTGTATTTGAAATCGTAATGGTTGGCAGATAGCAGACTGTAGCTACTGTCACGTGAAAACATTTGATAACACTGAGAGACAAACATTGAGACACACTGAGAAGCCCATGGTCGAGGTCAAACTACCTATATCCAACCTGTCAAATTAGCATCTGTCCAACCCATTTCTAAAGCTACCTAAACTTGCATTGAATGGCAATTAATGACATTTGACCTTTAATCGTCACGATGAACTACTGTATGGCACGTTGACACGATGGAAGAGTTTTCACTTCCAATTTGGGTTATGGCACATCACCTGCACAAGTGGTTTAAGATGTCAGTTCATCAATACAGAACAATAATCTACATTAACCGTCTCCTAGAATAGGTTTTTGGGTTATTGATGTTATTTCATTTGATAACAATAAAAACTGATTAGACAAATATCTGAGAAAATACTGATGAATTTCAATAAGATTTATGTTACATAATTTAAAAAAAAATCTTCGTCACTTAAATAAATATTAAGACAAACTGTCACTGTTCAGCATATACAGTGATAAACAGCAAGGCATGTGTGTACCACTGGTGTCAGGTGTGTGGTGAGGGTAGGAGGATAGTACCGGTGGTGTCAGGTGTGTGGTGAGGGTAGGAGGACAGTACCGGTGGTGTCAGGTGTGTGGTGAGGGTAGGAGGACAGTACCGCTGGTGTCAGGTGTGTGGTGAGGGTAGGAGGACAGTACTGCTGGTGTCAGGTGTGTGGTTAGGGTAGGAGGACAGTACCACTGGTGTCAGGTGTGTGGTGAGGGTAGGAGGATAGTACCACTGGTGTCAGGTGTGTGGTGAGGGTAGGAGGACAGTACTGCTGGTGTCAGGTGTGTGGTGAGGGTAGGAGGACAGTACCGCTGGTGTCAGGTGTGTGGTGAGGGTAGGAGGACAGTACCGCTGGTGTCAGGTGTGTGGTGAGGGTAGGAGGACAGTACCGCTAGTGTCAGGTGTGTGGTGAGGGTAGGAGGACAGTACCGCTGGTGTCAGGTGTGTGGTGAGGGTAGGAGGACAGTACTGCTGGTGTCAGGCGTGTGGTGAGGGTAGGAGGACAGTACCGCTGGTGTCAGGTGTGTGGTGAGGGTAGGAGGATAGTACCGCTGGTGTCAGGTGTGTGGTGAGGGTAGGAGGATAGTACCACTGGTGTCAGGTGTGTGGTGAGGGTAGGAGGACAGTACCACTGGTGTCAGGTGTGTGGTGAGGGTAGGAGGATAGTACCGCTGGTGTCAGGTGTGTGGTGAGGGTAGGAGGACAGTACTGCTGGTGTCAGGTGTGTGTTGAGGTAGGAGGACGTACCGCTGGTGTCAGGTGTGTGGTGAGGGTAGGAGGATAGTACCGCTGGTGTCAGGTGTGTGGTGAGGGTAGGAGGATAGTACCGCTGGTGTCAGGTGTGTGGTGAGGGTAGGAGGATAGTACCGCTGGTGTCAGGTGTGTGGTGAGGGTAGGAGGACAGTACTGCTGGTGTCAGGTGTGTGGTGAGGGTAGGAGGACAGTACCGCTGGTGTCAGGTGTGTGGTGAGGGTAGGAGGACAGTACTGCTGGTGTCAGGTGTGTGGTCAGGGTAGGAGGACAGTACCGCTGGTGTCAGGCGTGTGGTGAGGGTAGGAGGACAGAGGAGCGACCACCGGCACTAACATTAAACTCTAGAACAATAAATATTGTAGACCACAACATGTACATCAACACTACGTTAAGAGCTGTTTGTGGAAGGATGTGGGGGGAGGGAGGGATGTGATTGATACAGATATACAACAACACTGACTTACAGCTTTATTGATCCATGGTTCCCGCCTCACCAATGTTACAAAAAAATTCCTTACCTCCATTGTGAAATGTTATGAATATCACGTATAGGTTCATTTCATTTTTTTTTTTTTCAAAGATTTTATTTTCTCGAGGAAGGATTTGTTTCTCTTGAAAGTATGAAACATACCAGTATGATATTAAATATTCAGTGACGACCATGTTGACACTAGGAAACACGCCCATACCCCGTCCCTCTCCTACACTCTGACCCCGCCCCTCTCCCACACTGACCCCGCCCCTCTCCCACACATTGACATACCCTGCCCCTCTCCCACAAACTGACCCCGCCCCTCTCCCACACATTGACATACCCCGCCCCTATCCCACACACTGAAATATCCCGCCCCTCTCCCACACACTGACATACCCCTCCCCTCTCCCACACTCTGACATACCCTGCCCCTCTCCACAAACTGACCCCGCCCCTCTCCCACACACTGACATACCCCGCCCCTCTCCCACACACTGAAATATCTCGCCCCTCTCCCACACACTGACATACCCCTCCCCTCTCCCACACTCTGACATACCCTGCCCCTCTCCGCAAACTGACCCCCGCCCCTCTCCCACACACTGAAATATCCCGCCCCTCTCCGACACACTGACATACACCGCCCCTCTCCCACACTGAAATACCCGCCCCTCTCCCACACACTGAAATACCCCACCCCTCTCCCTCACACTGACATACCCCGCCCCTATCCCACACACTGAAATACCCCACCCCTCTCCCTCACACTGACATACCCGCCCCTCTCCCACACACTGAAATACCCCGCCTATTACAACCCAGGAGTCCAAATGGCCTGTTATCCTGGGTGTAAAGGGAGCAAAATAAACACAGCAGAAAACTTTTGACTTACATTATCCTTCACCAATTT